TGACACCTTTGTGACAGGATTGACTTTTTATTGCCTGCTTCCATATAAGGCGTGCAGTCCTGGATTTATTTTGCCTGTGTGTTTGTTTGTCTGTCTGTTAATATTAGGGAAATATTTCATGAATCTTTGTATAGATTTTAATGAAACTACCAAAGAGTAAGTTTTGAATGTACACCCTGACTGATAAAGCAAGGGTGTCAAACTCTTTTTTTTTTTTTTTTTTTTTACCAAGGGCCATATGAGCATTATGGTGGCCTTCAACGGGCCAGTTGTAATTAACTTCAATGTTTCATGTTTAACTTTGATTAGACACGAAACCTTGTTTCTCATTGCTACAGCTGAGCACCATTAACAAACAATAACTGAGCTTTACGTGGTATTTCCTGCACGGAAACAGGATTTCAACATGTCCTCATATGAACACTGAAAAGTACTATGTGTACGACCGACTAAATGTGAAATAACATAGAAATACTATTAAAAGTAAAGTAAGTGAGTTTTACTCACAGCTAAGTTGTGGTGAGTAGCTGCTGCCTTGAATTCTGAACTCTCCCACTTTCTGACAGGGATATCCCATTGAAGGTGATGTTCCTGTTTAAATTTACAACTTYTAGGGATTTCCTAGCCTGGCCCTTGTCTTCCTACGCAGCTCCACTCAATTCTAGTTTCCCTTCCCTGCTCCGTCTGGGACTTCTCCCACTGAGATGGTTTTCGCTGGCAGATTTTTAGCCGGGCCAATCAGAGAAGAGAACGTAAATTTTCTGCGCAGTGTCTACTTGTAGTTTATTTTACCTGGGCCAATCAGAGAACAGAAGGTGAAGTTTTGAAAGACATCGATGTTCTGCGCAGTGTCTGCTAGTTATTTTAGCAAACGGCAGTGGAGGAAGTGAATGAAGCCAGTCCGTGTTGATAAGACTTCCAAATTAAAGTAAATTTGTCTGACAAAGCAGCAGCTCTCATTTACAGTCGTCTTGTTCGGCTCGGTACTTCTCTCAGTAGGGTTGTTTACAGCACACGTGATTTCCAGTTAGCTTCTTAGCTTAGCCTCCTTCACAGTGACACACACACATGCTTCAGCAGAGGCCACGCCTCCTGCATGAAACGCTTGTCTYTGCATCAAGTCCAGACTCTAGTACGAAACAAAGTGAAGGACAGGGTCTGGTTTTAACCAGGATAGGGATTTCCCATTTCCCAGTACAACCGGGCCACAGCAAAAATGTAGCTAAATGGAGATCTTACACTTCAAATTTTGCTAGCTGTGCACCTCCACCTAGTGGTGGGACATCATATTTAGTGGATAAATTAATCTGCATGCATTATGMGAGATGTAGTTTATGGTCACTGCTGGCTTTAAATCAGTGTACACTTTTTTAAGACTGTTAAAGTTTTGAAGCTCTCACAGGTCACATAAAATGCAGTTGCGTATAGGGCTGCACAATATATCTAAAATTTATTGTCATTGTGATAACAGCCTGTGCAATATGCCACATTTGGCCTACAGGCCTTGATTTGCATACATGTGGACTAAAGCAATTTTACATAATGTGTATGTTGACTATCTTATCATAGGTGTAACATCCATCTCTCCATGGCTGTGAGCAGGTGACCTTTAGTCAACTCAGTCTCTCCAGACTGCAGCTGAACCGACAGAAATCTTCTACAAGGTAAGAACAGATTTCTACGTATTTGAAGTAGGGCTGCCACGATTAATCGATTAATCGACGACTAATCGATTATTAAAATAATCGATGACTAATTTAATAATCGATAAATCGTTTTCTGTTTTTTGTTGTTCTTTACTTTGTTTTTCTGTC